GCAAAAAAAAAAAGCACATTAGTACACATTGGCAGGCACAGGCCGCATGCAGAGCCACTAGTATTGATTAGTCTCCCTGTGTGTGAACAGCCAGGGGAGAAATATAAACACCCAACAGGTAGAGCTCACTTTGACAGCATAGTAAGTCAGCATGGGGCAATTAATTTTGGCCCATGCTGGTAGATGGAAGCCACAGGTTAAGCAATACCTGCAGAAGAAAAATGAAGTGAGAGAGAGAAAATGTGTCTATCTATCTATCCATCCATCCATCTTGTTCACCAAATTCTGTCCACTAAATGAAATATTTATTCAGAAATTATCTTAGCTTAGAAGGCAAAGCTTCATTGATCTAGCATATTATAACACCCCATAGTCTCCTCTATTAAACATTGGAGACACTTTACAGTAGACAGGTCTGATCTAACGCTTTGAGGTTGATGCATAAAGATAATATGCTCTCTATTAAACGGCATCTAAAAAAAATATGAAATAAATCACGGCTTCAAAACAGTAAGAGATCGTAAGGTTCTTGGAGAACCCCTGTGTAGTACACAGAAAGAAAGGTTAGATTGGCGGTTTCTTAGTTGTTGCACTGGTTACATGAAGACATTGATATACTGGTGTTCTTAAAAATGGATTAAAGTGTGTCTTATTTAGTTTGGAGTGATCATGAACAGAGATGATTGAAGTTAAAAAAGAAGGAATTCTATCCATCACAGGCAATCTCTGATCACGTATGGAAACTCTTTTGAGTCCAAACTCCTGAAGTAACTGGATAAGTTTTGCAGAATTTGGCTTAATCGCTGCCTGGTACATGTCACTTTGAAAGATTCAAACAGCATTATTGTATGATGAAATGCTTTCTACAAGGGTCAGAAAGGTTTGGTGGTTATTTAAGATTTAATGGATAGCAGCCAGGCCCTCTTACAGCACTCACATCATTTAAAGCAAATGTAAGTGTTCTAAATCTGAATTCCATTTTATAATCAGGTCTTCTGACTCAATCCATGAGCACACATTGGGATGTAAAACACTTTCAAGTAAAGCATATTCATATTTTTTTTTTCTAGTTAATTTTGAAATATGTTCTCTGGAACTAAATTCTAACCTCTAATTTTTCTCAGCAAAGATTTTGGAGAAATATATATTCGTTCATTTGCTCTGCTCCTTTATTTTTCTCAGTGATCGTTAGATATTCTTTAATCAGATACCCTAGATTAGACACCTTTTTGAATATTGAGGGCTTATTACCATGATTGTAACAGTGTTTTACCTTTTGCCACTGAAATCAATTGTAGCTGTTAAAAACTATGTAGCACTGGGTTTACATTCTAGATGAGACATCTCAAACTTTGTCCCCCAGTTTTTTCTGAACTACAACTTCAATGATTCTGTGACTGCGCAAGTGCGCATTGCATTCATATAATTCTGGAAATTGTAGACTATCAGGGTTCCCTGTTAATTTTTAAAGGTGCCCTATTGTCACTGTGACAATTTCATCTAAATGAAGTGGTCTGGATACAGTGTCCCTGTCCTTTTAACCCTGCAATTGCAGTTTTTTTTAGAAATGTTTACATTGCAGGGTTAGGTCCACCTCATATTGACAACCACTGACCAAGAAAAAATTGGTCATGCGACAAGGGATTCAATGCTTTCCTCTGCTTTCCTATGGGGAAGCTTGAAAGTGTGTGCGGCACTCATCCCGCATGTGCATTAGGTCCTCATTGCTTCATGAGGAGCATTGGATTGGACATCGGCTGGGGAAGCCATGCCTCTTCTGTGACATCAGAAGGAGGAGAGTTATAGAGCACTGAGGCAGCCACTGCGCTGGAAAATGGTAAGTATAACATAATTTTTAAAACATATTTATTGCAAACGGGGCGAGGGGCAATTTTTTACTATGAATAGAGACATTACAAAACTAGAAAAGCTACAATTTCTGGGGAAATTGTGTGAAGTGTTCTTGCCTCCACCAGTAGTCTACAACTGGAGTGGGTGGAGTAACTGTTGTGTGGTTGGAGTGGCTGAAGTAACTGTGGAAAGGTTGGACTGGTCAGAGTAACTGTGTGGAGTGTTTGGAATGAGTAAAGTAACTATTTGGAGTGGCTCGAAATATATTTATTAAATGTGCAGTTTAGACAGCAGCTTAGAGAATGTGTTTCATCTAGCAGCCTCTGTGTTACGGAACACTCTGCTGGCTGCTCACACACCTGGGTTCCTATGGCAACTCACTCTACAGCAAGGGCAGAGAAGAGCAGTTAAAACCAAACTGCTCCAAATTGCTCACTTAAAGGACTACTCTAGGCACCCAGACCACTTCAGCTTAATGAAGTAGTCTGGGTGCCTGATCCAGCTAGGGTTAACCCATTTTTTTTTACAAACATAGCAGTTTCAGAGAAGCTGCTATGTTTCTAATAGGGTTAATCCAGCCTCTAAAGCCTCTAGTGGCTGTCTTATTGACAGCCGCTAGAGGCGTTTGCGTGCTTCTCACTGTGAAAAGCGTTTTTTGCCGCCCCCTGAAAAATGCCGCCCAAGGCAAATGCCTAGTTTGCCTCGCGGCTAATACGTCCCTGCACACACACACACACACACTCACTGACAGTCAAACACTCACACACTAACTGACAGACACAGACATCCAGCCTCCTTACTTCCCTGGGGTCCAGTGTGGGGCAGCTCCTCACTCCTCCAGTACGCTGTTTAGTATGCCAGGGCTGGAATGATGTCATATTCCGGCTCCTGAGATCACAGAAGGAGCACAAGGGAGGAGTGGGAAGCTGCAAGAAGAGCCTCCCTCACCGACCACACTGCCTCCCACCTGCTTCCTCTTCTCCGTCGGCATTCATTGGCAGAGCAGGCATCTGCCATCAGGGTAAGCTGGTGCCTGCTCTGCCATACTGAAAAATGGACAGCTTTGAGGGCACCCTGAGGTGGCCATATGGCCACCTTCTGGGCCTCCAGGGACAAGGCTGACCGCCCCCATTTTCGGCCTCCTGGACGATCGGCCCAGTGCTGAGGGGGGCGGCTCTGGAGCCGCATGCCCAGCGATGCGGCTCAGGACAGGGGGAGCCCACCAGGAAATATCCCGGTGGGCGCCCCAGCAGGCCAGCTCCCTAGGCAAATGCCTAGTTCACCTAACATTGGCACTGGCCCTGCCGCCCCGGGTGCCAAATGCTCCAGGTACTCCCCTGGAATAAGGTGAGTGTAAAAAGGGTTTTTAACCCTTTATTTGCTGGCAGAGGGAAGGGGCAGAGGAGCACTTGTATTTTTTTATTTGCTAAAAGTCAGTCACATGTGAAGCACGCATGCTCTAACTGCAGTTTTTAAAGTGTTCTGGTGGAGTTGCTGTGGTAACTAACTCAATAACATGCCATTTCCAAACTTACTGTAAAAAGTTTTGGTGGTTCTTTTCCATTGAGAATTGTTTGCCGCGCACAACAATTCTACTAGTCAGTGGAAAACATGAGAATGGTGATTTTACTTTGCATTTGTGTGACACAGGCTAGGACATAAAATCACACAAATTCAAAGTAAGTTATTATTGACTAGCAGCTAAAACTGACAGTGAATATTTTTCCATTACCCAATAAATCGTGGCATTAGTGACAAAATCAATTAGTCGCAAATTCCAAGATCTTAAATGCAGCCAGACTTCAGTTCACAAATTCAGTTTACCTTTTACTTTTTAAAACATTTCATTTGTTTTTAGAGAATATTCCATTAAAATGCAGCTTTAAAAGCATATTTGGCCATTTTTCACAAAATGTGTATCCTAGAATAAGATTATCGAACATATTTACTAAAGGATGATTTAGCCAAAAACACATTAGTATGCTTAAAACCTCATTAGTATGCTTAAATGGCTGACAGTCCCATTTAACAATACATCTGGCCTGTTAATATATATGTGCTTTTAAAACTGGAAGCATATAGCATATTTACTAAAGTATGGAATACTGTATATTGTGCATGGGCCAAGGCATCCATTTTATCTATCATAATTACTCTTAGAAAGTATATACTTAAATTCTTTAGAGAAGAAAAATACTGATTCTTAGGACAGGGATAGACAGTTTTTGGCATTTCAAACTTTGTGTACTACATCTCCCATGATGCTTTGGCAGCATTATGGCTGTAAGAACATCATAAGTGACGTAGCCCCCAACATCTGGAATGGCGAAGGTTGCCTAACCCTGTTTTAGGGCCTCTCACTGTTAAAAAGATTTGAGTATGCAGCCTTTCTGTTTGAAAGCTCCAGTGAGCAGACCATTACTGGCCTGAGTAATATGTGAGGTTGTCATTTGATTTTTTTTTTTTTGCATTATTAGATTTCCCAGGGAGATACAGGGAGCAGGAATAGGGAATTAGGCAGAAGAAATAGAATGTTTATAGGATGGCTAGATATGATCTAATAGCAATGATATGATGTGTGTGTGGAGGGCACACTCTGGTCTAGTTCCGCTTTGCTACACAGTCGGTAGTTAGCTTTTATTTAATTATGGAATCAGTCTATGAAGAGAACTCACTAGACCCTAGGGCATAGCACAAAATGTTTTTTTTTCTACGTGATACAGACTGGATAAAGGAACGCCACACTACATAGGAATTGAAAAGTAAATAAATAAATAAAAATTTAATAAATTGATTATTACCAACAATATCCCCAGTCTATAATGCATGCTGCTTCTAAGCTAATGTTTAACTCCAACATATCATCTCTGTCCTAACCTCTTTGTCAGTCTCAGTTAATATCGAATAATCTGAAATATTTTTCGGAACTGTACTCTGTCACAGGTCATCCATAATTAGTTCATCTAGTCTCATCACCTATCCTCTGTTTGAACTCCCCCTACTGACCTATCATTTACAGGACTCTTTACCCCATTCTTTCCTGGGGTCTGCCAGACGCTGCTCCCCGCCTCCTATTTCAACACAGCAGGGCAATCACACACAGACATACTGACACACACAGACAGACATACTGAAACACACACTAATAGACAGACATACTGACACACACACTGATAGACAGACATATTGACACACACACACAGACATACTGACAAACACACACACAGACATAGTGTGTGTGTGTCAATATGTCTGTCTGTCAGTGTGTGTGTCAGTATGTCTGCCAGTGTATGTATGTATGTGTCAGTATGTGTGTCTGTGTGTGTCAGTATGTGTGTCAATATGTCTGAATGTGTGTCAATATGTCTGTCAGTATATATTTGTGTGTCAGTGTATGTGTGTGTCAATATGTATCTGAGAATGTGTCAATATGTCTGTCTGTGTGTGTATGTGTCAGTATGTCTGTCAGTGTAAATGGCTGTGTAAGTATGTTTTGAATCTCTCTACTTTAGTTCCTCCACAGCATTGGAGTGGAAAGTGTGATTGGGGGTTGGGTGTAATTGGGGGGTGGGAGGGGCAGGGCCCAGGGGGCCCAAGAAAATGCTTTTCCCAGTGCCCTATTCATATTAAAGACGGCCCTGCATTTCTCCATGTCCATTCTATAAACAACCTAAATTAGTTAAAAGGTTTCAAAAATGTTTGATTTGGTTTTCTATGTTGTCATTAAATGTTCATGTTTTTTTAGTTGTATATGCTGCCACTTGAACACATATAGCATGATCTATTTAATAAGGATATATTTGTTGTATGTTTTCATTTTTGCATGAACAGTAAAAATCTAACAAGAAATCATTAGCTACTTTTTCACCTGAAAAGGTCTTATATTTCTCTTCATCAGATTTAAAGCTGACATTTTCTATGTGTGATGCTGGCATGAACTCCAAATCCCCTATAGTCTATAAGATCATTTTTATTAGGTGAAATATGCTGATGTTTGTAAATTATACTATTACATTTAAGGTATCAGTTTGTCTGGGATTTGTATCTTGGGAAAAGGTGATGAGTGAAAAATATACTGGCTGTTCAGAAACATCAAAAATCATTTTGCATATGATACAGATTTTGCAGCTAAATATTATCCAATGTCAAAGATATATAAGTTAATATTGATGAAGTTACCCTAAACACTTTCAAATAAGTGGTGCTGAATAGACATGTGCAATTTGTTTCGTTCCTAATGTACATTTAGATGAATTTCATGAAATTCGGACATTCGGATGCTTGCGAATGTCTGAATTTCCGAAGTGACGAATTTCTGAAGTGCCAAACCAAAATGACGAATTGCCAAATTTCCGAAGTGCCAAAGTGCTACGTATTTCTGAAAAGTGGCAAAACAAGAAAGGGAGAGAAAATTACATGAATGATGACAGGAATCTTGACCAATACGCTAATTCCTGGCATTGGGAGCCCTATAGATGTGTAAATGGTTGTGGTGGCAGTCCGGCACTGTGAGCCCTATAGATGTGTAAATGGTTGTGGTGGTTAGGGTTATCGATTAGGGTTAGAGATTAGGCTAAGGGTTAGGGAGCCCTACAGATGTGTAAGTGGTTGTGGTGGCAGTCCAGGCACTGGGAGCCCTATAGATGTGTAAGTGGTTGTGGTGGTTAGTGTTAGGGGTTAGGGTTAGGGGTTACGGAGCCCTACAGATGTGTAAGTGGTTATGGTGCAAAGTGCTTTGCATTTCGGAAAAGTGGCAAAACAAGAGAGGGATGCTTACGAATGTCCGAATTGCTGAAGTCCCAAATTGCCAAAGTTCCGAATTTCTGAACTACTGAACCAAATGCCATTGGTCCGAATTGCCTAAGCAAACAAAAAATTTTACTTACCCGAATTTCCGAACCAAAACAAATTTTTGCCCATGCACATCCCTAGTGCTGAACCTCACTCCATACATTTAGGCGACTAGTTGACATTTAAATGAAGAACAACCTAATAAGTAATACCCAAAATATTTTAACTTTCCTTGCATCATAACACTTGTTAACATGGTTTACAAGCTAGTGCACTGTTTAAGGAATATTGTTTGCATTTACCCTCTGTTATTGCAATTTATTCTGTTTACCGATCTCACAGAGGATGGCACAAAACGGTTGCGTTTTGGTTTTCTCAACAGTTACTTTACCATCAGAGATTTTATCATTAATATGATAAGTAAAAGTTATTTGAGTACTTGAAGCTTTAACTCATTGAGTGCCTACTAGAGATGTCGCGAACCGTTCGCGAACTTCCCGCGAACGGCTCGCCACGGTTCGCCACGAACCGTTCGCGGCGAGCTCCGTTCAGCTGACACATCCCGGCCAATCTCTAGCAGACCCTCCCTCCCAGACCTTCCCACCTCCTGGACAGCATCCATGTTGAAGGCAGCTTCAACATGGATGCTGTCCAGGAGGTGGGAGGGTCTGGGAGGGAGGGTCTGCTAGAGATTGGCCGGGATGTGTCAGCTGACCGGAGCTCTCCGCGAACGGTTCGTGGCGAACCGCGGCGAGCCGTTCGCGGGAAGTTCGCGAATGGTTCGCGACATCTCTAGTGCCTACAGGCAGTCCAGGTATACACACAATTTATGGATTGCCCCACATTGGTTTGGTGACCTTTTACTGAAGATTCCTTAAAACTAAAGGGTCAATCTTAAATGCCTCTTGCCTTGTAGAATACATCTTTTATAAGGGTCCTGAAAATAAATAATATAACTGTTTTAGGATTTAGTCACTTTAATATTCACTTTACCTTGAAAAGAATATTATTTATTCCATGTCATTAATATTGAGGAGTTTTATAGTTGGCGTGTGTCTTGAAACACGGTTAATTTCTTGATTTAGCTGCATGCCATCTTTCTTTATTATACTCTCACTATTATTTTGCTGGATGAGACAAGGTATGTTGCTTAAATAAATAAAATAAATACTATTGCTAAATATAAGAGCAATGATGACAATTGAATTTGAGATCTGGTACACAAGAAGCAACAGAAGTTAAAAGATATGACAGCTGATGTTTGCTTTGCTCTTTGAAGCCTGTGAGAGGATAGACAGATTGGGAGACCAAATAATTAGGGACTAAATTGATATACCGGGATTCTGTGCTTAGAGTCCTTAGTAGGAAATAGCTGCTCACCTCATCACCAAGATTGATGGTTCACACACAATCAGAACTCTGTTTGGTATTCCTATGGAGAAGTTCAACTCGTTCGATCAAAGCAACCCACGTTCGTACAGACTCAGACATAATTACCAGTCCATGTGACCTGGCAAGATTGAATGTAGTTTAAATGCATTCAATTAAACAAAATAAATGTGAACAGTAAGCTGTATTATAAGAGGAACATTACTGAACTGTTTGAGATAGTGCACGAGGAATGTTTTTTCCTGCCATGAAAGTTGATTGTGCTCGATCCAAAAAAGACCTGATTACTGCATTGAATGGATGCCATAAAGCTAATGTTACAATTTAGATTGATACCATTGAGAAGCACCATTTAAGCCAGATTTAAGTATAAGGAGTTCTAAGACAGGTGTTCCACTATTATTTTTAATGCCTCATTGTTTAATGAAAAAATGGCACAAGGCTAAATAATAGCAAAATGTCTCAAGTGGTGGTAAGATGAAATGTCATAAAGTCCTTTATGTCCTTATTGCTAATGTTCCTCCAAACGCCATTCAATATCCTTCTCTTTCTCTCCATGTTTGATACCATTAACCATAACTGATTGGGATAGAGTGGTGACAGCATGACAGACTTAAGACTATTAGCAAGTAGCTTATTCAAAAGCTTAAAATCCATATCTAACGATGTGATAGTTTTACAAGACACATCCTTGATGGGATCAAATCCCTCTCTTGGAAATACTACTACCCTAGCAAGAGAGAATTGTATTGGTATGGTCTTTATAAACATCTTATTGAAATCTTACTTCATTGAAATTACAACTAGTAAAGTATCCTAGTTTAACATAAATCATATTTTGTTCTATGACGCAGGTTGACAAAACTGAAGAAAAGGAGAAGCTTCTGCATTCTGCCATCATGTTATGTTAAGTATTGTGGGAACAGTGCATCTTTGCACTGATCACAAAAGTTGAACTAAAGAGGATTCTGTAATCTTCACATGTACGAAAATGCAGCAGTGACGCAACTCCTGGTGGATGAAGCACTAGAAGTTGAAGGAAGAAGATTGCTGCACATGCGGGAGACAGATTCAAGGAAGGATTTATGTCTTTCGCAAGCACCCCAGGCCTCCATACACTAAGTGGGGATGTCATCTTCAGAGGTGTTTGCTAAATATCAAAGAAAAAAAGTTACCTGCGCTCTCTCCCAAATCCCTATGTATATTTAAACAAATCAAGGTTATTTAGTTACTCCAACGGCCATTGGAGTGAATGCCCACCTGCCACGTCAGGTGGGTCCTACACTAACCTTTCATCTTGCTTCCTTGAGCTTCTGGCAATGGTTAGTGTAGGACCCACCTGAGAGGTTTACCTTAGCGTGGCAAGCGGCCATTCCCTCCAGTGGTTAATACTGTATGTACTGATGCTGATGTGTACTATGGTCATTGCTGCCGCACAAGAGTAGTGGGATTTTAAGTGCAGGAGCTGTTTTTTATTGTATTTGGAATCACTTTTGTATCACACAGTTATGTTACAATGCTGCCACCCATCCCATGTGTTCCCTATTGAGGTTTAATAAGCATGTGGGGTGGATATAAAAAATACCCCTCTCTGTCTCATTAGCGATATATTTGCCAGAAGCTCATGGAAGCAGGGTGAATGGTTAGAGTTAGGACCCCCCTAAGAGGTCTGCCTTGACATGACAGGTGGGCATACCCAATCATGGCTATTGGAGTAACTAAATATACATAGGCATTTGGGAGAGGTGTTATTGTCTTTGCTAAATATGTTGGCAAATGTGGGCCTGATGGCTAAACGGGAAAAACATACATTGTCAGTCTTTGCTTTTTTCAGTTTTATGTTTACTTTTCCATTTTCTTTTGTAGCACTGGGCAGTATTGGAGTTTGGTGGTTAGCAGAGGGTATTGCTTATCTGTAGGTGGTTCTTTACCCCCTATGTTCTGTGGGGGATGCCTGCATTATGTATAGTGCCCTAATATACGTATAGTGTGACAGGGTCCATCTGTCTTCACATCTCTGTAGTAACTTGTTTTCTAATTGTTTGCTATTTAGTAATGTAGTTGTTAGGACATTCAATACCAATTTGGAGACAGCACTCATTAACCCCTTAAGGACACATGACATGTGTGACATGTCATGATTCCCTTTTTTTCAGAAGTTTGGTCCTTAAGGGGTTAATGTTCTCATTCATATAGCAGGTACACACTCTGTCTAATATGAATCTACACATACATATATATATATAGAGAGAGAGAGAGAAAGAGATAATTTTTTAAAATGATTAATTATTCTTTCCTAAACAAAATCACAAGCTTATTTTTTAACTCTTTTAATGAATATTCCATTACTTGTGAATTATTCTTATTTTAGGACAAAATGGTTAAGAGGAAAACGATAGCTGACATTTTTCCATTCCTCTATGTTGTCGTAAAGTTTAAAATTCACTTCACATTTGTAGCAGTTCACATTTTAGAGAATAACCCTTTCCGTGTTTTGGATAAGTGCAATTTTTTTTTATTTCTCTGGGTTGAGGGAAAATAAATCAGTAGTAAAAGCGTTAGCATTTGACATAGCAATTTTTTTCTAAGTAAATATGTACATGTGTAGATTACAAAGGCATCAGGTGTTTATTGTAAGATAAAAAATGTTAAAGCAAATGTTAAATGGTCAGGATTTTGTAGAAATCAAATTCATTACTCAGTGGGATTTATTTTCTAAACTTTGAATTGGGGTGAATTGAAAACTGAGTAACAAAATGTAGGCCTGAATAAAAATAACCCATTAAATGCTATCTCATCATGTACTACAGTGAACAATACAGTGGAGGTAAATAAAAAAAAAATACACATGTATATGCCACTATTTTACATACATTGCCTAGCCTTGGATATTACAGCATGTAAGTAAAAATATGAGGTTAGAACTTGAATTTAAAAAAAAAAAAAAAAAAGCACAACCAATGTTCTAGTAAAAGTTCCTCTTTGAATTTTTTTTTTTATTGTAAAAGAGAAAGGTGAGGTTGATTAAGGGTGGTACATACCTTCCAATAAATATATATAAAATTTGCAATCCGTAGAGATCTAGTTGGGGGAACAACTGACTTAATGCGATCTCTAGTGTTACAGTTCTATCTCATGTACAAAGAGTTTAAGGTACATTTACATTATGATAGTAGGAAAGCAGCTAATTTTGATGCAGATGTTTACTGTACCAGGGCAGTCATCATTTATTTCATAAATTGTATTTGATTTCAGTACCAGATGATATTGTGTGGCACCCTTTGCTCTTTAATCATCTCCAGTCCTGGACTACATAAAAAGGGTATATTTAACTTGATACGCAGCGAGATATTCTGGGTGGAAATGCCATTGCAATATAGTCTCTTTCTAGGGTTCAGTGCTGACTTTGAGCTTGTCTCTTAAATCATCTGGCACCTCTGAGGTGCTGGTAATTGGAGCACTGCTATGCCAAGACCTTATCTCATCACCATCCTCTTGAATTTGTCTGCGACCAGCTCCAGTTTATCCACGAAGTAGAATTTTCGTTATGACGGACACTGTAACTTTCCACCATACAGATCCTGATCAGAAAGCCTCCTTTAAGCCAGGGGAATGCATGCTCGTTAAGAAGGGTTTAAATGGTGACAAGCCTTTTAAGCTTTACATCTCTAAGGGATTTGGTACTTGAAAGTGTCCCCATGGCCAGACAGCCCCTGTAGCATCAGTTTTCCTAGCACAAATATCTTACACTGACCCTCTCTTCTTCAAGGTTTGAGTGCTTGCTTTGCTACTTTGTGCACTGGTTAGAGCTGATAGGAGTTAATAGGAGTAACAAATACTCATCTCCAATTCCATATCCTCATAGCCACGTAATCCTGTATCTACATATTCTTTTCCATATCTATCTCTTTATATTTCATATTGACATACATCCCCAAAGCCATACTCCTTATTATAACCGTAAGTCCTCCCTTCAGCCATTTTCATCCAGACTATCCCCGGTGCTATGGTTCTCTATTCTCATTGCCCTGTCCAATTACCTGAAGACCAACGGGTGTTGTTGGGTGGAAGCTGATTTATGTGCATCTTCTAAGTGCATAGAACACATCCCAAACTATTATAAATACCTGTGTTTCAGATGGGCCCTGCTGAGGTACATACAGGGTTATGACATCATATCCCACATGCCTGCACAATGGGCTTCTCTCTCCTATTCCCATAGTACTGTAAATTAACAGTGACAATATGTGCACAACCCTTCACATGCTGCTTCTTCACAGTGCCTGCTGCTCTGTCACTAAGGACAAAAAACAGATGCAGCCTCAGAGTTTCTTGCAGAAATATTGATGATGGGTAAGGAGTTGACATGTTTATTAAATTTTTAAATAAAAAAATGGTCAAAGTCTGGCACACCAAAACACAAAGTTATACAAGCCTTATTACAGAGGAATACCTGTGATGGTCGCTGCTTCCTAGTACTTGCGAGTACCATGAGCACTGCACTGGAACACCATAACCACTGTGAACCCCACAAACCACCACAGCTTGGTTGGGGTCTCGCTATCCTCCACCCACCCTGGACCCAAGACCAGGAACCAGCTTCCAGTGGGTAGACCTCTCCTAGTCCAGAGAGCGAAGCAGGCTGCTCTTACAAGAGCAATCGTTGTGATCCAAGGGAGTATAGTGATTATAGCAATACCCAGAGCTCTCCAATCCCCCAAACATGAGCCAAGACTTCATGAGGGGTAAACTGTTCTGTTTAATGGCAGCCACATTTAAAGGACCACTATAGTGCCCTGAGGGTGCCCCCACCCTCAGGGTCCCCCTCCCGCCCGGCTCTGGGGAGAGGAAAGGGTTAAAACTTACCTTTTTTCCAGCGCCAGACGGGGAGCTCTCCTCCTCCTCTCCGCCTCCTCTCGCTGCGCGCGTATTCAGCCGGTCTCATAGGAAAGCATTTACAATGCTTTCCTATGGACGCTTGCGTGTTCTCACTGTGATTTTCACAGTAAGAATCACGCAAGCACCTCTAGCGGCTGTCAATGAGACAGCCACTAGAGGATTTGGAGGCTGGATTAACCAGCTATGTTAACCTGCTATGTTTATAAAAAAAAGGGTTAATCCTAGAGGGACCTGGCACCCAGACCACTTCATTAATCTGGTGCCTAGAGTGGTCCTTTAATGACAGTCTCATGCAAGGGGCACCCCCCCCCCCTGGACCTGAGAGTAGACTACAGTAAAAACATACATACAATTGCATTGGCTCTCAGGTCGGGGATACTCCCATACAATACAAGACAATCCCTCCCCTATGCCTGGGAGAAAATTGAGTCAGGAATTAAACTAACTCAATTATCTTCAGGCACAAAAAACACAACTTTTACCAACACCCCAAAAGTACCCCCAAAACAGATGGAAACCCCACAAAAATTACATCCCCTGATAGCCTCGATCTGATGACCAACATATCCAAAAATCAAGCAGATCGGTTCAGGGGTTTGGGATTTCCATGGAAGTCATAAGTTTGACCGACCGTGCACATGGTCCTATGCCCAAAACAGCTCCAGGGAATCAGGGATAACGGTCGGTCTCTCTGTATGGAGTACAAAAGTACATCAATCACATGAATGGAGCCTTTTAAAGTGCATTGGGCAAGGTATATTGCAGGGCCCATATTCCTGAAGCAAGAGGCTGGCCAGCAGGCCCCTCCAAGAACTCGTGACGAGGTTCAGTTCATCAGATTTGTCCAATGGCACCCCTCTGGAAATGTAAAAACAAGCACCATAGCTACTAGAAACTCATTATAGTGGTTAGGGTGTAATCTGTCTAGATTTAGTCAAGTGTATTTTGTTTTAGTTGAACAATTTTAAAGGGTTTTTGCAAAAAAACTTAGATTTCCCACATACCCAAAGCAGACCTCCACACCTTCCCCATGTCCTTCCCCATGTTTTTTCCTTATGTCCATTATGTGTCACGATCTACCATTAGTCTTTTTCTTCTTCTACTTGTTCATGTGACCAATACAGAGGAGTGTCTTTATCTCTGCTAAAGCTCTCCAATGCAGTTTTGCTGCCAAGTGACATATGAAGGAGGTGGGTATAATGATGCCTCATGCTCTGCCGCTTCCATTCATACAGCTCTAGCAAAGTACTCAGCATCCAAATGAAAATACCACATAGAGGAAAATCCATTCATTTGAGTAGGCCTGTTCAGCTGCACTACACATATTGCTGTTATGAGTGCCTCCTAAGAGCTCCATCATCACAGGAGCACCCAACTCCCTGCTGTCCCTGCTGTCAACTAGGAAGACTGACCCCCACCCAGTGGTGTCACTCGGGTAGTGCCACCCAGTGCAGTAACTTAATGTGTCACCCACCCATAGACCTCATCTAATACCAGACCATATCAGTGACTACAAAAATCCAAAATACAAATAATATCCTTTTAAAGTTTATACTTAGCAGACACTAAATTTCACCAAACTGAATGATCACCCCATCTACCCCCCTTAAAAAAAGTTAAAACTTACCTTTAGTATAGCGTCGCGCGGGTCTGCCGCAGCTGGCTCCATCCACGCTCCGCCTCCATGGCTGAGATCATTAGAATTGACAATGTCAACCAATCCAATGCTTCTCCATAGGAAAGCATTGGGAGACTAATGTGCACATGTGGCAAAACACTGTGCTGCGCCAAAATGCCGCCCTGGCCAATCAGCATCTCCTTACAGAGATGCATTGAGTCAGTGCATCTCTGTGAGGAACGTTCAGTGCCTCCAGGCAGTGTGTGGAGACGCTGAACTTTAGTGATGCACACTGTGCAACACTGACCTAAGAAGCACCTCTAGTGCCGTTTCAGTGACTGCCACTAGAGGAGTTACTAGGCAGCAATGTAAGCAACTGCCTTTTCTCTGAAGTTAGTGTTTAGTTTTTAGTGTTTACAGCAAAATATCTGCATGGACCTGACTATACTCACCAGAACAACTACATTAATCTGCAGTTGCAGTTTTGTAGAAACATTGTAGGGTTAAACACACCTCTTCTTGTTGCCTTTCTGACATCCATTAAAGTTACTTCCTTTACAACGACTGGGTAATACTCGGTCATGTGACCAAAAGCATTGAATTCAATTTGGATAGGTGTGGCACTCGCCACACATGCACATCAGTCACCAATGCTCCTCTACGTGGAGCAATGGGTTGGACAATCGACTTGAGAGTGATGCAAGCCGGATGACATGGAGAAAAGCTAAATAAACAAAACAAAACAATATTATAACTATAGACAAGGCGCAGGGGTAGGCAACCTTTGACACTCCAGATGATATAGACATCTTCCTTGATTGTTTAATACCAGCATTATGGCTGTAAGAGCCTTAAAGGAAATGTAGTTAATAACATCTGGAGTTTCGAAGGTTGCTTACCCCTGGACAAGGGCAATATAGCATTAGGAATATAGAGTATAATGTTCATTTAACATTACAACAATTAAATAGGAGTCTTGCAAATCATTCCACTTAGCATGAGTGCCTCTATAAAGGAATTTAAGGCATTGAGCCATTACGTATTAGGATAAACTAAAATCACAAAGATCTTCTACTAAGCATCACAATATAAAACAAGAAACAGACTCTCCGTCTCGGTAAATAATAACTAATCTAAAAGAATCAAACCTCTCTACGTTTAGACTTATGATATATAAGATGTATGTACTAATAAAGTATATTCACATAGCATAGCTGTGAAAACAGCACATAAAGTTGCGAAATACTAACATGAACTAGTTTGTGTGAAAAACATCTGCAAAACATCCGGCTGGCCAAGCATCATGGGAATTGTAATTCCACAACAGCTGGGAGATCTACCTTTTGCACACCCCTTCTTTAACAATTTCACAATCTTTTTATTTTTATTTTTTTATAAACTTTTTGTTGTTGTTCTATTCATTGAGGTGTAACTGGCGTTCTCCTGAACTTTTCTTTTTTCGCTTTCAGGGAGGCCAGCAGAACATTGCAAGGACTGTGAACTCCCACAAAGAGGAGCTCAGATGTTCTTTGTCATTCCCAGATGTGGTGGCTGGCAGAAGATGTGCGGAAACCAGTAAAGGAAGCTGTAGTTCCAAGTGAGCTCCTTTTTCTCTCGACGCACGACCAAACTGGGGAAGGGCAGCTGCTGAGAGTTCATTGGAGCAACACTTTCCCACAGTCTGGAGATGTGACACATGGCTCTCACACATTCCACAGCCGGCAGACTCAGTCCAAGTTTGGCCAAGAGTCAATGCAGCACAGAGAGCTACTGCTGGGAGCAGGTTCCGGGAGCTTTGGCAGAGTGAGGGACTTTTAGGGTGAACTAGAAGCACACAGGATGCACATTGCCACATACAGGACATTGGATTATGGCTCTGAGGTTTTTTAACCTTTTCAATGACTGAATTGCATCTTTTACACACAAAAAAAGACAGCAATGGATAGGAAGCATTTAGACTTTTACCAGTAACTCCTGGAGTGCCAGAGAATGTTGTGAGTCACTTTGCTGACTGTGATACATCAGCAACTGACACGTTTTTTTTTACTAAACTCAGATTAAGATCTGGATTTTAAAATTGAGGCTGAAATAGCCACACTGTAAGTTGTGAAGTTTTTCTTCCAAATCAAATAGATTTGGGTCCATTTTGGAATCTACATTTTAATTTGCTACAAACTTAATGGATAACTCTGTCAGGCTTAGTATATGATGGAAGCTTTACCAAAGGCATTTCAGTTTATATGGACAATACCCCTATCAAGCTCAGCCATTGGAATTACTGGCAACAGTAAAAAAAAAAAACAGATGTTTTGTAGGCCCATTACACATGTATCATTGCCGTCTTACAATTCAGTTTAGATACATGTTGTATACAAGCACTCAGCACATTTTCAGCATTAACACTAGAGATTAAACAAATATAGAAATTGCGCAACTTTAAATGTTCTCTGAAAATTCAACTGTTTAAAAACGCCTTTCGCCTTCCACTATCTAATCTTCAGCATTGGCGCACGCAAAGCTTTAGATTTAGGTTGTGCACTCTTTTACATAAGATATCAGTAAAAACTGGAAGTCACTAATAATTTTCACCGGGGAGGGTAAGGTGCTGCTATTGGCTCATCAGACACCACCTGATGTTCTGGGCTGGCTAATGGAACCCTATTGATGCTGCTGGAAAGTGGTGGCTTTACACTTTGTGGGGCCTTAGCTAAACTCAAAGTTAAAGCCCCCGCTAACACCCACAGTGGAAAAAAAAAGGGTTCTATTGTCTGTAGTTATAGTGAAGGGTGGGCTTGCTGCACGAGCTACGGAGAGTTAGTCTCTGTATTCATCGTTCAGAGGCTTGCAGTGTAGCTGCTCCATGGGCCGCTGTGTTGTGAGCTCTCTGACTAGTTATGGCAGAATTTATTTACAATAAAAATATTAATTTGCAATTATTATAATCATTTATACACAATTGCATGGTATGGTTGCATAGCTTGGCAGTTGTATATACATAAGTGCTGGTATAAAGGGATTGTTGGAAACAAAAAATAAAAAAATTGGCAGGTCAAAAACGTTTTTAAAGAATAATTTACCAAAAAATGAATTTACAGATAAGAAAGCACTGTAATTTTCCCCACATATTCTATAATCCTTTTACATATATATTATTCTATATTTTCTTTATACATTTATTTATTCCCCATGTATTGTATATGTATGTATATTATATATTGTATATGTTGCCTCTTTACCTTTGGATTGCCAATACCATGCCACCCTCACATTAGAGCCAAAGACACAAACACACTTATACATTCACACATATACACACACATAATCACAGACCCAAACTTAATTACAGACATACACTCACAATGACATACACACATAATCACAGACATACACACACATACAAATCTACACACACATTTAATCAGATATATACACATAACGAGAGACATACACACAATCACAGGCATACACACACACACACACATAATCACATTCTTATACAAATACAATTTTGTCTTTATTAAAAGGTCCACCATTGGGAGGTCTGAAGTGGTTCTTCTCCCTGGTGACCAGTGGTTGCAGCTAGGATCAATGTGTTCTCCAGGCACAGGTCCCTTGTACGCACTGTAGTGATGCCGATGCTGGGATGACCGGCTGCTGGCTCATTGCAGGGCATACAAGGGAACTATGCAGAGAAAGTACAGTAAGTACAGAGCTCTCTCGTCGCCCATTCACTGATATAATTGGGCAGAGTAAGCACCTGCTGTGAGAGTAAGCAGGTGCCTACTCTGCCAACTAACAGCAGTAGAGAGTGCCCCCTGATAACTGGTGCTCTAGGCAGGGGAGCACACAGGGGAGCAAGGATTAATATAGGGTGGCAAATGCCCCCCTTAACCCTCCTGTAGCAACACCTATGAGTGATCACGAAGTGTGCAAAAAGATAGTCATAATTCATTCTGAAAAAGATAATAAGCTAACCAAGCAAACTCTTGAACAATCCATTGATTTTCAGGGTAAACTCACTATTTTTAGAACTTGCATACCTCCTTCTGTTTGATACACTTTTATAATTTTCCCTTGATGTATTTTACTGTTGACATGAGGTAGTTATCGAAAAATACTATTGTATTACAAAGTCAGAAGATTGCCATCTGGTTTAGGACAGTTCCAGTTGCATACCTTGAAAATGCTGAGCGGTCATCCCTGAGTCATATCATTTTTATATCAGTGTCAGAATAAATTGTCAAATTCTAAGGGTCACACAGACTGGTTCTTGCCTCTGTTCTTTACTTCAAGAAAATAATATTAGTCATTGAGTCCTTTTCCTTATTGCTGAAGTTCCAGGTGAAACACTGATTAGGAATATTAGGCTTCATTAGGAATATTGTTTCTATAGAAGTAGATTAAAAAAAAAAAATGGGTGAGAAAATCATCTTTATGTTGGCTTGTCTTTGAGTTAAATTTTCCAAAATTCTTAGAGTCTAAAATTCTGTTTATTTTTAGTGTGTTGACTTGTATTTAGTAGAGTAAATTGAGAACATAAAAGCCGTTTAAAAGACCCCAGCCCTTAAGAAGATGTTCTCATTAGTGAACCTTCTTGTTAGACATTATAGAATTCTCTGAACTGTTTTTCTAAATTCTGTAAGTGGAGGAAACACTTGTTCTGAACAAAATTCTTCTGCTATAAAGGTAGCACAGATGAAGATCATTTGTGGCTCTTTTGCAGGATATTAAATGTAAGACAAAGGGGATTTAGGATTCAAACCAAGTCTTTGAAGTGTTCAGTGAGGTCAGAATTGATTTTCATACTTGAAAGTTCATGCCAGTAAAAAGTGAACAATGGGACAATAGCAAAAATTCATAACTCTAGAACAATGCTGTCAGGTGATTTTCCTAAGGTCATGTAGAAAATCGGTGACTTATTTAGGATCAAAGAACATATAGTTAACTAGCTAAAAATGAAATAAATCAATGTAAGCTGGTTTGGTTGCTGTTTAGAGCAATTGTTAAAACCTACTTGTCTTCTTAACACATTATAGGATATCACTATTGGGATGGAATACATTATTCAGGTAGTAGTAGTTTGTATATTTGTTTGTGTGAACTGTAGTGATTTATTGGTGACATTGGTATGTTTGTGAAATTAACTTTTCTGACAATTCTGATACCTTTTACTATGTTTAGTATGACATTATATGTACTGCCAACTATTTACTATAAAGTAAGACTGCCTCAAGGGATCCAGTGAATGTCCTAAATAGGTGCTCTAAGCACTATAACAGTTACAGCTCATTGAAGTGGTTATTGTGCTGTTGGGCTTCTGTCCTGGCCATCTTCTGGGGTTCCTGGTCGCTAATTGCAAGCAGGGGACATGTTATCTAAGGGGTTCTTTGGCAGTTATTGACAAACAAGGGGCCACTTGACTAGTTAGGCAAAAAGCTTTTGCATAGGCAAATGGTGCTTTAAAGCTAAAATAGCTATTTGCCTGAAATTACTATTTGCCTACTACATTTGAGCACAATAATATTGCTGCATTAAAAAGAACCTTGAGCCCCCTGTACTGATGCGCATACAGTAAGTTTAGGGGTAGTAAATGGTAGAGGGGTAAGAGGTTACTAAGGGCTAATGGGCATTTAAGGGGACTTAGACCTAATCCCTAACCCTAAACACCCAATACCCCCGGCCCTAACTACCCAAATGCTTACGAATCCCTAGCACTACCTTTATCTTAAAGGAACACTATGATATCAGAAATACAAACGTATTTATAAAACTATAGGTCCAAATAGAAGTTTAGGGGACAGGCCCCCCTTGTCCCCTGTTAAAAGTGTGATTTTACTCACCTTTTTCCAGCACCACGCAGGTGTTCTCATGGCTATTTCCGCCTCCTCGGGTGAGATAATCAAACTCGATGATCTCAACCAATATAATACTTTCCCATAGGAATGTATTGGGAAGCTATTGTGCATGCATGGCAAAACGCTGCGCTAATTTGCATCTCTGTGGGGAGCAATCAGCATTTCCATGCTGAGTTGATACAGGAAGCACCTCTAGTGGCCGTCTGAGTGACTGCCACTAGAGGTGTTACTAGGCACCAATGTAAACACTGCCTTTTCTCTGAAAAGGCAGTGTTAACATTAAAATGCCTGCAGGGACAGGCTATAGACACCAGAACAACTAAATTAAGCTGTAGTTGTACTGGTGGCTAAAGTGTCCCTTTAACTCCCTCTTAACTTTACCCTTACTTCTCCCAATAAATATAGATCTTAACAAAGCTTACACAGTTTGATTCTACTGCCTGTGTCTCAATTTAATGTTCAGAGAAAGGCACCATGTATATATTAAACATGCATTGGCACTGTAATGTACACCTTATCATGGGCGTAAGCACTTTTTTCTATCATGGGAGATTGGAGAGAATCAGAGTCATGACAAGACAGTAGAGAATAGATAGAAGAAGTGTTGCGATTGCACTGATTAATTATTAATATTTATTAATAATAAGAAGCATGAGTTTAGTTATTGGGCATTTAAGGGAGGGCACTATCAGATTTTACAGAGGGCGCCTTAATCCAGCCATAAAAAAACAATACATATAGCTGTAGCAGGAAGTCTGAAGTAGTGACAATGATGGGAACTCAAGGAGTGAACGAGTAAAGCAGATTTGAAACCTCCTTGACATTGTCACTTCCTGGGTAATTAAGAGCTTCTACAGTTCCATGTCACTGGCAGAGCCTAAACATATTAAAAAAAGATCCCTATTCTCCTGCCTCAGTCAAGATCTCGTCAGTGAAAAAGGGAAATAAAGGCAGTTTGTTCAGGGAGTCCGTGAAAGGGAAGATGAAAGAGGAAACCTACATTTTTCAGCACAGTCTGTTTCTGACATGGGAAAATAGCACAGACAAGAATAGATAGTTTGTTCATTCATTTTTTTCACTTGACAGATTATCTGTGTGAATGTAGGGTATTAGGGAGGATGGAAGACGCCAACATTTTTTTTTTTTTTTTACTTTTTTTTCTTCTTGATACCTTGAAAGTAATAATCAAAGAACTGTAGCGTGAAAAGCACCAAAAGGATTTTCTTTTCTTAATGAAATGAGACCACACTTTTTTGTTTTTTTTCTTTCCTTCTTTGTAACCCCCCTCACTTACCTTTCTTTAAAAAAAAAAAAATAGGGGTGGCGTCTGGAAGGGTAGAAAAATAGCATGTGGTTTCTGAAAGTCATGGCTATGTAGACGAATTTAACCTCTCACCTACCACAATGCTAAAAAATGCCCTGCAGTGCTTTACGTCTCCGTCTTTTCTCAAAGGTTTGTATGCCTCCTAGACAGTCACTTTGTCTGGCCTGAGCGTTGGGGTGTGAGAATAAGGCCACAGAGGAGGTACAAACACTCCTCTCTGTCTAATTCGAAGCAAAATATCACCTGCTCACTTACTGCTTTGGCTCCTTCGTAAAAATATTATACGATGACTTACCGGATAACTTTTGTATTTATTATTTTAGTAATGAAGTTTCAGTATTGTCTCCAGTGCAGAATGAATTGGTCTTTTCTCAAATTATTGAATCATTACTAATTTAAAATAAATAAACAAACGTATGGCTCACGCAACCAAATGAAACTAAGCCCTGCTCTCAAACACCCACTATTCGTGGGAGGCAGCAATGACTATAGTAACATCAGCCCAAATACATGCAATCAAAACCAGAGAGAAAAGTTAATTGCACACTATCCCAAATCCTTTTGCACTTTTAAATAACTGGATGTTTTTTAGTATACTCTAATGGCCATTAAAGTGTAAGCTCAGCTGCCACGTCACAGCAAAAACCTGTTAGGTGAGTCCTACACTTACAATTCACCTTGCTGTCTTAGTATAAGGAAACATCTCTAATGAGACAGACAGGAGTGATGTGTACTATAGTCATTGCTGCTGCCTAGGAGTAGTGGGAGTTTGAGCTCATGGCTTAATTTTATATGTTTGTATTTGCATTTGTATCACACAGCCATGTTACAGAGCTGCCGCCCACCCCATGTGTTCACTATTAATAGTTAATAAGTGTGTGGGGTTTAGAAAAATGCCCTCTCTGTTTCATTAGAGATTTTACCTTATGGCTAAAGACAGAAAGGGGAATTTTTGGTGTAGGACTCACCTAAGACGTTTTGCCTTGAAGTGGCATTTGAGCTTACACTATAATGGCCATCGGAGTGACACTAAAACACCTCCAGTTATTTAAACATGCATAGAGATTTGGGATAGTGCACAAGTAACATTTTTATTTTAAATATGGCTCAATTTATTGATTCAAGTAAAGATTTTCGCTTTTATATCTTTAATGTATTTAAAAGATCTGAGACTTGACTCGTTATATTGGAAAGCAATGTAAACGTAAAGTTCTAGTGCAATGAAATTTCCAGAGTAAAACTTTCAACGTAGCAATGATATTAGATATGCCAGAGCAGCTCTATTTTCATCAGAGGGACACTGAAAATTATTGAGATTACACATGCGTTATCTCGGAGTCAATGCAGAGACGTAGCAGCAGCCGGTAACAGTAGTGACAGGGTTAAAAGTTCTTACCATAGAGAATTATGGCAGCGATTGGCTTCTTAGTAGCAGTTGTTGGCGACTGGCTTTTTAGAAGTAGCTTTTGGTAACTCCCTGTCACTACTTTTGAAAGTATCAGACGTCAAACAGCCACTACTCTAAAAGGGCGCTTTAGTAGGTAGAGGCAGATTGGCATTGAGCAGCGACAGGTATTGAGATACACCAGCCATAATCCTGCCTAAGGCTAGACAGAATCCTGACATAAATGTATTCAATTTCTGTGTGTAAGTTGCTTAGTCTATCTAATAAATACCATTCCATGTCACTATTTATATTCTTTTTATGAAAGTTTCTTAGACTGTTCTAAGAGTTTTCTACACCAGTGAAAATGATTAGACACAGCCACAAGTAAATACCATTTTTACTTGTCAAAAATTATTTAACTCCAGTTTCTAATATGTAAATGGCTTGGCTGCCTTTTAAAAGACTTTTGGTCATGATATTATTATGACAGATGTTGAATATGCAAATTAATATACAAGAAGAAAGCACATTCATTTTAAGCAAATATTTTCGATTTACTTCAGGAAATAAAATTTAGGATCTGAACCTATTAACAATACTTCATGCAACATTTTGTAAATGTATAAACAAATAACTACAACTTTTAAAATGAGCAAACTGGGCCCAAATGTTGCTTTTTGTATTTTCTTTGTTATGATAGGACTTCATATTTAATACTTTTTGTTTGTAAAACTTAGCTACAGAGGGAAGTGGGGCATGGCATACGCACACTATGACTGAATGTGCGTTGAACACTCAAAACACATGAGGTGGAGGAGGTTATGTCACTTTTAAGTGCTGTTTCCTGGCTTTGTGTTTCTACATTTTCGAATAAAGTGATTTAAGTATTTTGGACCACAGTGTTGTACTGCTTTCCCTGCAACACTTGAGTAGTCTTCCTATTGAAGGACATGGCTTCACGTGCATTCATTTGTTGCACATTTGCAACTGAGCTGACACTCTAGGACCTAAATCTAGAGGTTCATTGGCACATGTTCGATGGTAAATTTATTCAGAGTTTTTATGGCTGAGACAATATTATTTTCTAGTGTTTCCGAGAGATATATGTGCATCTATGGATTTTTGTAGCGTATTGTTACTTAAGTAGTAGTCCAGATGGAGCAAGTTGGGTCATAATGCATAGGTGTAAACAAGGAACAATGCATGACAATGCAGCACAGTATGTAACCAATACAGTAGCCACAGAAACAGTAGATATAGTTCCATAGATTTAGATCTGACACTATATTTTACTATAAAAATAAACAAAGATATTGCACCGTGAGGCTGAATGAATGCAGATTTTTTTAATATATTATGAACGAATTCAGCGAACAATGCAAAAATATAAATTAATATATAATAAAGTGTTCATTGCATACAGCAGAAAAGCTTCATATCCCATAAAACAGTGCAGTGTCATCAGGATTTATGGGATACGTAGTTCAACTTTCTCATGTAGCTTAATTCACAAAAAGACACAAGTGCAACTACTGAACCAAATAACGGACTGGGGGACATGGCTTCTATCAGCTTGTAGAAAAGTTGAACTTGTGTTTTTTTCATGAATTAAGTTATTCACAGTTATGCTCAACTGCTGCACAGACTCTCTTAAAGAAAGCTATATCTGCCTTTGTAATCCACCTTTCATGTTTTTGCAAGTGTTTAATAAGATATACTAAATCTTGGCACAGTTTTCTGAATTGACTTCAGTGTGTAATGTTTTAAAATACAGGTAGAATATATTTAAAACAGTCACAAGTCTGCTGCTTAAAATCCTCTGTTAGCTTAAATAAACAGTGAGCTGTGAAGGAGCTGTTGTGTTGTGTGCAGTTAAGGTATTGTACATTTATCGTAGGACAGGAAAGGCAAGCCTAAAAAGTACATTAGGTTACACCCTGATACGGTACTTCTATGTAGACTTACTGAGAAAGGTACAGTAAACTGCTAAACCTTTGTAAATAGAATATGGATTCTGTGTACCCTGTCAGTTCTGTTTGCACACTTAAGTAGAAAAGTGCACCATGGGACATTTTCATGTATTGTGGGATTTTATCAGACGCGTGTCACCACTGCCCTCTCGTACACTGTACGTGCGATTCTGTCAAAGCTTGCAGCTTAGTCTGTCAACACGAACTGCCAGTCCACAGACTTGACATACGCCTCAAGAATAAAGAAGACATTTTGAAAGATTCTTTGCAAGTCAGGCATCAAGTCCTCTGTTTGTAGAATTAAAGAGTCCAGCATGCTGAACTCTGCTCACCTCTCCCTCTGCAAACAGACGCATTGAAAGCCTGTTTGCCAATATTTATTGTAAAATACTACCTTGACACGCTCTAAACTTTTTCTTTGCAAGTTGGCTTAGCCCTTCACTTCACAGATGATTGATGGCCACCAATGTGTATCAAGGAACAGGACATAACTATGTCACACATGATACAGTGAAAACAATACGTGTCATTTGCTCAACGACTTTTCGTTTCTCTGTGAAACCTATTTTTGTTCAATTAAACAATCATCACATGGATTAAAATTTCACAGTCAGGGAAACCAGATCGCATTCATGTTTGGTTAGTGTTCTATAAAATTTGAAGAATCTGTCTTGGCGTGTGGTGTCTCTATTCTAGACTTCTGGAAGGTTTATTCAGCACTGAGGTGATAATTGTCTCCATATAACTCAATGATTATTACCTTAGACATTCACTAATGGGTGTAGGATGGCAACTCAAAACTGTTGTTTCACCAGTCAGTCTCAGTGTTAATTCTCAGAATGTCTTACTCTGTAAGTTCAAGGGAAAATCTATTGATTATTGATAAAACTGGCTCTGCATTGATGTCTGAAAAAGACTACGGTAAGTTTTTTTATAACTTAATGGAAAGTGAAGCGTGTGAACAATATATAAGTTATGTAAGTGTGATTGGTGAATCATAAAAAACACCACCCACAAAAAGATGGATTTGTCTGCTAACACTTAGAGTGCCGGCAGCTAATCTTTGGGGACAATTTTCTTCTTCATATATAAAATTTATATATATATATAAAATATTCTTTTCATATCTTAGCAAAAAATAGGCCATATAAAAAAAATCTTGAAAATAAAAACAACAAAAAATCTGATGAAAAAATAAAACACCAGAAGCAAGAAAAATAAATCCATATTCACCTTCCGAGGGCTCCGCGCAGATTTAGGCTTTTCCATGCTTTGCAATCTCATTAGAGCACCCTGATTGGTTGGCTTATAGGAACTCTCTAACTGATATTGCATAGCGTGCATTAGACATGAGTGAATAGCCCGGTCAGTGACATGTCATTGAGCACCATTCTACAATAGAATTCCAAAGCACTATAAGTCCGCCCAGATTATTATGAATGGAGTGTATATGTTACAGATATCTTGTATCCTCTTCAGTTCTTCTGCATGAACATTTTTTATTTATACGCTCCAATCTGCTACTGTATAATCATTTTACTTTCTTGACTTTTAAACGATATTTTGTGTTTTGTATCTAATGAAAAATATTCAATAAAAAAGCCTGAATGAAAATAAATTGAAGCATACTTTAAAAAAAAAATCTTTTGATTAAACTTTAAAAAAAATCTCTATTACACATATTTTGGACATGTCCTAAATTAAAACATATTGGGCCAATATAGACACGCTCATGCACCTTATCACAAATCAAATCCCACACATTACACCTGAGTTGTGTCTCCTGAAGAAATTCCCAAAGGGTTACCTAAAGTTAAACGTATTTTTATGTCATCTATTAATTTCAGCTTCTTCAGCTATTCCCAGGTACTGGAAGTCTGACACTCCAGCCATGACAGAGGTCTTGCGTTGCCTATTCGAGTCAAAGTGTTATGAACTAGCCTTTAGGATTCCCTTTGTGTTTTTAGAATCGCTGAGACAATATTGGACAATCTGGGACAGGGACGTCTAAGGCAGTTTTAGCTTATAAGTTTCATCTACACCACATCCAACTAAACAGCACTATATACAAATTATAACCTGATTCATATATATGAGCATTGAAATTGTTTATTTTTTTTATTTTATTTTATACAAGGCTTTCTTAAATGTTACTTTTTAGTTGTTACATATATTACTTTGTGTATGTATGTATGTATATATATATATATATATATTTATATATGTACATATATGTATATGTGTCTATCTTATAGCATCTAATGATGTTAGTTACAATTATTCCCCTGTTATTACTGTTATTAGTAAAAAAAAATAATTGTGCTATTATTGAAAATGTATTAATAAAAACATTTGAAGAGAAAAAATCTCAAGTAAGCAATATGGGGAGGAGTAGTGACATGGTAGAAACATTATCTTTCTTGTAGAAACTGTATACATTTCTCGTTCTTTTTAGCAGCACAATTATTAGGAAATACATATTCGAGGTTCTGCTTTTCATATCCATATTGTCTTGTGCTGGAGTTCTCACCAAACTCTCTAAGATAAGAACCATACTCTATATATACTCAGCAAATGATCCATTTCCAAAAAAGCATCTAAGGTGTGGAGATTTTCATTGTAAATAGCATTCAATGATTTAAATACGTATTTTGTGTATGTATAATTTGTTTTATGTACTTTTTACCTCTACTGCTGCACTAACAAGTATTAAATGTTTTGGGTAGCATTTCCCATTTACAATTTTCACTGTAGATTCTATCAGTGTATTATTTACCATGTTGTACTACACTGTGAGCTGTGTTAGTGCTTTATGAATAAAGTTTTAGAATATAAACGGAATTTAGCTCAAATGTGTTTGGTCTAAACACAAACTGTTGTATTAAATGGTTTGCTAAACAGATAAATTGATAGAATGTTGTTTTTTAATGCATGGGCGGGCTTCTGTAACTTCTGTAAGAGGAAGGCAAACCATTAAGAGGATTGCAATCTTCTTCCATGTTGGGATGTGAGCTCTATTATTATTATTATTATTTTATTATTTATATAGCGCCAGCAAATTCCGTAGCGCTATACAATGAGAATACTGCCTCTTGAGAAAAACGTGAGTCAAAATGTTCTTCCTTCTGGAGAAATAATCAGCATGTCGATTTAGCATTTACTTGTTCCTAAATGGGATATTTTGCAAACATAAATAACCAAAAATATGGAAATTGCTTAGATCAATATAAGCAATACATGTAAGTGTTTCAATATACAGTCAATATGTGATTAAATAAATCATTAGATTGTGAAATAAACACATAAATAAATATAAATATTCAGTGCATATGTTTCTGTATACAGTATAGAATATTTCCAATGGAACGTGCTATTTATTATTAAACTATATACCATGCAAGTGTATTTTACCAGCAGCACACACCAAAGTGACACACAAACTGCAATAAATACAAAATAGTGGTGCACTTACTTCATGCAGTGATCTTCCACAAAATGAAACCTGAAAATAATAATACAAATACAAAATTGTGCAGACCATCTGATAACTCCATAAAATAATAGTGTGATGAAAACAACATATCTGGGGTACAACTGTCAACCCTGGCTCTGGTAGAAATAACTCCACTGGAAAGGGAAATAGCCCACACAGGGAAGAATCCACTGCCATGCATCTTGAGCTTGGATCTTGATGAAAGTCCTGGTGGGGTTCTCAATCGAGTCCCCACTATCTTGCTTCACCAAAACATAAAAACGTTGGCTTGAGTCCTCCTTCCTGGTTCTGGCTACCTCTTGCTCTTCGCTATGCCTCTCGCTGCTGTCCACTCCAGAGCATCTTCTGAAGTAGGGTTAACACAACCAAAACAGTGTTTTAATAAAGCTGTTTTAGGTTGGAGTAACCTTTTTTAGGTAGTGAAAACCTGTGACAAAGTGCATTATATCAAGTTTAGGACAGTGGTTTTGCCTTTTTTGCATGACAAAAATTACATGTTCCATTTTTAACTTTAATATAATAAAATTATAATTTTGGTCATTCTCACTAGTATCTGGGAAAACAGCTATATAGTGCTGACTTCAGGAATATTTCAGCCCCAGTTAAACTTTTAGTTTTTTGCAAAACTCATTTCTAGACATTCCCCTGTACCACTGATTTCTAATCCAACTCTCCAATCCTAGACCCATTTACATGGGTCTCTAGGGAGGTAACAGCATCCTCATCCCCAAAAGTATTTTTAACTAAGCTATTGCTTGGTCTTACTCTATAAGCTACTGAAGACACAGTTCTGAAGATATAGCTCATTAATTCTGACGGGGCGGTTATTCCACATTTAGATTTGCTGAAAAGCAATGTTTTGTAAGTACATAAAAATTAACACCTCAGTGTTCTTACAGTGAACCTGTCTATTGTAGAGATTAACAATATATGTTTAAGGGGTCTTATCCAGTGCCCACGGCACCACCATCATGCTGGGTCCATGGTGTTTACACTAAAGTTAGAGGTTCGACCCAAACCTCACTCCAATATGCTGGTTTTGCTGCTGGTGCTTTGTTGTCAAAATAAAAAGACTGGAATGACATCTGTCACTCCATTCCTTTACTCCTTTAGCAAAGTAAGAGAAACAGCAGGTTAGGGCTATCTAGCCACAAAGAGATTGACAAAGGCAGCTCACCTATGTAATGGGGTACCATCACACACCGCAAAAGGGAATAGAAGTATACGGTAATAAAGAGAAAAGGGAGCACCAATATAATTAAAGAGAGTAAACAACTATTTAGAATATATGTAAAATAGTAACAGATAAAAAAAAATCCACAAAAACGTCAGATAGATAAAATACAAGAGGTTATACTAAAATATGGGATAACAAAAATAGCAAAAAGAAAAGTCCAAAGTGATGTCCAATAAAAATCAATAGTATATGCTAAGCAATAAAATATCCACAATAAGATAAAACTTGCAAGGAGAAGACAACCAGGTCCTGTCAAGAAGATTCTTCTATGGAAATACCAGATCGGGATTCTCTTGGGATCCGTATATAAAAAATGGAAAAAACGGAAAAGACACCTAACCGTGCAGTATGTATCAACAGAGAGATGTTCTAGTAGATCTAAGGTCTATGTAACTCTACTCACATTTAGTAGAGCTTAAACCAGCTCATGTTTGCCAGAAGATTAGCACTCTTCCCTGTCACTCAATTCTCATCCCAGAGGCCTACGCTAAGATTGGATTGACAGACTACAGTTCACCCCTGCCATTTACAATAATGTTGTTTGTACTGAGTGAATATTGGAGAAAATGTTTCTGTGGCTGCAGGCCATTGACAAGTGCACCTTAACATTGTTAATATACTTTAAAAAATGCTAGTGTAAGAAATGTATATAGCATCTTTTAACCCATAGCATGGTATATATATCTAAATTGAAAAAAAACATTTTGGAAATAGTTTAGACATTTATTTATTCAATATCTGCAAAATGTGCGTCATCATAATTGTTGTAGGGAATCTGACACCTGAAAAATATATCCAACTATGCATCTGGGATTGTCTTTCTAATTAGTTGCTTATTTAATAAATATTTATAAATCTTTGAAACTATCATAACTTTTGCAAGAACTTTGGGAGAATCCCAGAACTCACGCAGTCCAGAAGACTTCCTCCCTGCAGTTGAGAAAAACAAGCAAAAAAAGCCCTTTCCTTTGGGATTAAATGTGCTAATGTGTTTCCTGATGGAACATGTTTTTTGTTGTATATATATTTTTATTTTATAAGTTACGAATATCCCTTTCTCCTTCAGTTTGTTAAATTCTTTAAACTGGGATTATTCAGACATCCGAAATAGATTTTTTTTTTAAATGTCCCCTTCAGTTTGTTATATTCTTCAAAATGGGGATTAATCAGAGATCACAAATATATTTTAAAATGCATATATACACATATTTTAGGGCGACAATTTATTTTTATGTCATAACAATATTACAATTTTTACGCATTTCCATATTTAGTTTTGTTTTTTTCTTATACTATGTGCCTTTGCCTGGTGGTTTTGGTGGTGGCTTTATATAGAGTGTGTACTTACCATACCTAACCATCTATTTGGTTTGGCTTTTTTTACAGCTTAAATCGGATACTGAATAAATAAAATAAACTCATATAGTAGAGATTATTAGACTTGCCTGTTATGTTTTACTGCTGTTATATTATTAATTATATTAATATCAATAATAAAATAATTATTGTGTGTAGTTCAGTGGGTGGTCAGACTACTTAACTAGATCAGGAAATATATAACCACATATGGTTAAGAGTCCTAGTTACTAACTGTATCATATAAAAAAGTGTTTTCAACAACCCTTCCTAAGCATATATATTTGGTGTGGCAAATATATATTTTTTTCTAAGAGTGCTACAGAATTTTGCCTGGAATAGTCCTAGTGTGATCTCCTTTTAATGAGATAATGAGAAAAGAAGAAAATTAAACCCAACTGGTTTATTTGGGATCAAAGGTGTATTGTGATCATCTGTAAGCCCGGTTCAGCCAATCAGAAAAGAGATGAAATTCAAATCAAGGTAAGTGGGCAGAACTTGCCTAGATGATAATAAAAAAGGTAAAAATGTAAATGTATTAAAATATGTACAAATATATTAAAGTGTTAGCTGAATTTCCACTTTTCCTGTTTCACCACGTTTGTAATGTTCTCTATCCTGAAGCGGCTGTTTTGTGTTTTGGACAGACAGAAGGAAAGTATGTTGTCTGGAAACCTACCTGAGGGGCTTTTCAGATGAAAAAGATAGCACAGTTCTATCTGTGTCAGAGCATGCATATACTTCCTCCCAATATATGTAAACTGTGTTTTGTCCTTAGGCTTAGCTTCCGTCAGAAAATTGTCAGTTTTTGATGTATTTGCTTATGAAATCACTTACACATCGACTTGAAATGTGGTTTTGAGTTAACCTTTTTACATTATTACATAAACAGCAACATTCAAATCTTTCAGCCGGCTGCGACAGAGGAGGAGCATGGCAGCAATAGAGCTAAGATTTGGCTAGAGCTAGAGTTTCTGGGCCTGGTGGCTTTCTGTCACCTTACCCCCAGTCTGTATGTGACATAGAGGGAGCCTCTGACCCAGGTAGTTAGAATTAATATATTTTTTATAATCTGTCTGTTTTTGTGTGTGTCTGTCTGTTTGTATGTCTCTGTATGTCTGCGTCTGTGTGTAAGCATGTGCTACAATCTGTGTATGCCTGTCTGTTAATGCCCATGTCTATACCTGCATCAGTGTGTCCCTGTCTGTTAATGCCTCTGTGGCAAATGATGGGTCCCTTCTAAGAACCTTGAACCTGGGACCCAATATGTCCTAGTTACAACCCTGGTTAAAAAAGTGCTTATAAAGTATGCAGAAGCGGGGAGTGCTGAATGTGATAAGTTATTACTTATTAATCCATTTGACACACATTAAAGGACCACTATAGGCACCCTGACCACTTCAGCTTAATGAAGTGGTCTGGGTGCCAGGTCCAGCTAGGATTAACCCTTTTTTTCTGTAAACATAGCAGTTTCAGAGAAACTGCTATGTTTACCTATGGGTTAATCCAGTCTCTAGTGGCTGCGCTTCTCACTGTGATTTTCATTGTGAATGCTTTCCTATGGACTGGCTGAATGCGCGCAAGGCTCTTGCCATGCATGCGCATTCAGCCGGTGACGGAAGAAGAGGGAGGAGATGAGGAGGAGAGCTTCCCCTTCCGGCGCTGGAGAAAGAGGTAAGTTTAACCCCTTCCTCACCCTAAAGCCCGGTGGGGGCACCCTCAGGGCACTATAGTGCCAGGAAAACGAGTAT